GACACATCAAACTCAGTGAAATCAGGACGTACCATTAGCATTTCTGCTAAATAGACAAATGTGCTAATAGTTTGAATGAATGTGAATTTAAAATAAAACAAAAATAACAGCCCAGTGATATTGTAACATAAATGACGCTAAAAAACGCAACAAACGCAATAATCACGGACAGAAGAGAAAGGGCTGGACCGAAAATACATCGCTTTTATCTCTTATATGCAAATATATTTCCCCTCAAGGGGTTAACAAAGAATTCTACACAGTGTACAAGCTTGAGTTTCCCATGAGATCGCTAATGATGTAAAACATTTGCTAGGGATTAGGATCAATAATATTTCATTTAAAGGCAAATCTCACTGGTCTGGGTCTTACTGGTAATGCCAGCAGTTTCATTCCAGGGATACAGTACAGGGACTTTGACAAAAGATTAAATTGAATTTTTGTTCTTTTTGAGCTCAGAATCTTTGTTGATGAGACATTTTTGCGTAAATAACAAAATTGAATAAAAACAGAAAATGGTCATTTCGCATTATATTTTCATGGAACGTCGATCCAATTATTTTTCTATCATACGCTTTGATGTGGCCTGTTTCTACGGTACACGTGTTTTGAAAGACGATGGATGATGAAAGGGGGTGATATTTCCTCTAGATGTGAAACGTGTCAGTTAAACGTCAGTTAAACTCAGTACCGGAATTAACTATTTTAATATTCATTCTTTTAAAACAAAGAAATTATATTTGAGAAACTTTGTTCTACAAAGAAGGATAAGAAGAGGATTTCACTGAATCTTCCCATTCTTGATGGATTAAAATTAATTTATTTAATATAATGAACTGGTACATGACACACCGAAATGAAAATGTAAAACCATTATTTTAGTTACATAATTTCTGCAAAAGCTAGAAGAATTGATAATACCTTCAAAGTCCCAATGAAATTAACAGTACAGACTAGAATCAGACCATTAATCACACATAATACGCAGAAATGCTGTGGTTACTCTCATCCTCATCATGTTCTCCGCATGAACATCTATGCACAAATATCACTATGTTGCATGCTACAGTGCTTATATCTCCCTGTTGAACCAATAAAATATTCACTGTGAACACAACCTAATAACACAATTATTTTTCCCGTTCAAATAGCCTTTAATTTCAGATCTAGGGAGTTTGTCTAATGATAAATAGAGCTACAACCACAGTAAATGCTAATTACAATTAATAGGAATTGCAGTTGTATTAATTGCAATTGTAATTAGTAATTTGATATTTATTACTGTGGTATTTGTCAGTTGGCAATGCTCATGATAGTCTTAAACATGCTTGATTTTCAATATTTAAATTCCACTGATTCACATGCCTGCACTGCCCCTGGCAGACAGTAGTTATTTTCCAGAGCTCTAACTTTGAGGCAAGGAATGCTGTAGCATTATGGACCTCCTGGGCCCAGAGAGCTACTGGCAGAGATTCCCAAGCCTACTCAGTCAATGAATCTTTCAAGATCTGACTGATGCGCTCCCACTCTCACTTTTATGGCACACTTTGTGCCATAAAATGAGTGCTTGCTTTGTTGGATCATGTACAGAATTTTTTTATGTTTACTCTTTCTCGATTGCTCGCATTGCCCACAATGTGCTACTGACCATCTTTGAGGGCACCAGTGTTCCTAATGCTCGTGAACCGATCAATTTTTGTTCTGCCCTTAGAACACTTTTGTATAAGTAAAACTTCCATGAGTGTTCTTAAAAGCCTTAAACACAACAATGATTTCAAACAAAGGTTATGGTTATGGAGAAATTTGTTGGTTTAGAAAGAGTCTTCTCAGTCAATCAACCAATCTCCGTCCCTGCACCGATTTCTTTCAGACTGCTTTCAGCCCCAGACCTTGACCTTGTTCGAGCAGTCAGATAACACCCAGTGGATGTATGTTTTCTCTTGTGTCCGAGTGTGGAAGCTGAAAGCTAGCAGTACAGAGCCAGAGACAGGGGTGAGAACGAGTCACATGACTTCTGGTGGAGTGTGTGTGCGCAGTCTTGGGGGCAGACTTACCCACGTACAGCTGGCTGTAGAGCTCCAGACGGGTGTGTCCCTGAGGAGGTGCCAGACGCACCTCCCTGTACTGCTGGTCCAGCTGCAACACGGCCTCCTTCACATTACGCTCGGCACTGACCCGGTGCCACTGGTCATCATTGAGGAGGGTGGGCGACTGGACATTCAGCTCCACCGGCCCATTGCCCACATCGAAGGAGAAGGACACCATATTACGGGCTGCGGGGGGTGAATAGACAGTTGGCCGTTACTTTGCAAGACTCCTCAACACGCAGTAAATTATTATACTGTTTATCATGTAATTAAAACATTATGCAGTCATTTAAGGCTGACATGTACATCGTGTGCAAATTTTATGCGATTTGCATTTTCAAAAGGCATAATAAGGCTGAAGTCATTCAAATTATCACTATAATTCCCATTTACAGTATACCACTGTTTCCCAGATCCCACAGATGGTCCCCGTTTCTGCTCCCTTTCCAGACAGTCCTACCGGTAACTGGGAGGGAGCAAAAATGTGGACTGTCTGGATAGAGACTTAGAGGGAGCAAAAACATGGACCATCTGTAGGTCCCCGAGAACCGGATTGGGAAACACTGTATTATAAAATAAAGCTGGGATTCACAACCAAGCACATGTAGCGGGGTGCCTGAGCACCTACCCATTCTGCCCGGACTATTTGGCCTGTACTTTAAAAGCATCTTAGTGTCCCCTTTGTAAAACCCTGAACACCTGTCCCAGTATGTGCTCAGTATTCCACCAGGTCACTGGACACTGGGTGTCTTGAGCAGGAGTTGGTTATTATCTACGCATTTTATATATTTACAATCTCTCACGTTTGTGCCTGAAAATAAACAGAAATGATTAAATGTATGAAATCGGCGACTGATATAAGATGTCTATGCGAGGTCAATTTTAGATCTGCACATCAGCAGCAATTACTGTACGACCTGTTTGTGATCTTTCCACGGTGTCTTTTGCCTAATACCTGTTACCTGGCATAGATGTCTTGCCAAGTAGCAAACGACTTGAGTATTACATCGTTTAAACATAACTTGTGTACATCGGGCATACATATGTGTGCTATCAGTATAGTATCTAGAGGATAGCCCAAGGGCATTTCTCAATACGTGTACTTGACCGTATTTGTGTTCTCGTGTATTCATTTTACACCATCTTCCATTGCCCAAGACCGGTTCCAATATCCAAGAACCGAAGTACAGAGAACAATGAAAATCCCTGGATTTTGTTCTTACCCTGCCCCAAATATCAAGGATACATTGACTGGATCCTTGCCAAGCGAGATTAATGCTACAACTCATTGTGCCCCAAGTTCGTTCTTGGGAGGCAAGTTAGCAAGACTGGTCTTGCCAAGACCACAAGTATGATCTTTGCATTCTTGGCTTTGTGAAACACCCCTAGTCCTTACTCTAGTGTTTGACTGATGGTCTATATTCACCTGTGTGTAATTTGTAATTGACCCACACCTGTCCCTCATCTAGCCTTGTTAGTGATGTATATAAGTGCCTGCCCTAGGCTTGATCTTTTGTCGGTCGTCGTTGTTTGTTTGCTGTTAGTGCTGTACATTTGCCTGATTTGGTTAGTTCCTGTCTGTGTTTTAGACCACTTGCGATCCCTTTGTTTCTAGGTTACTTCTCAGTTCAGATTATCACAAAATTCCCCCTCGTCATCAGGCTGCACTGGGATCAACATTCATTGTGGCCAATCAATCATAAGGGACAAGAAGTGACTCATTAATACCACAGTTGTCCCCTTGATAAAGCACCGGGTTTTCCTCTGTCTTGTTAAACCGTGACTGAAAATGGACTAAGAAAACTATTTTTCATTTTAAAGTACAAAAAAAAAAATCACAATCGCTGACAAGGTTTTCATTTATATTAAAATTAGTATATGCTATTATATGCCATATCGTCTGGGTACTCCGGTTTCCCCGCACAGTCCAAAAATATGCTGAGGTTAACTGGAGTTCCCAGAATGCCCATAGGTGTGAGTGGTGTGTGAGTGTGGCCTGCGATGGGTTGGTGCCCCATCCTGGGTTGTTCCCTGCGATGGGTTGGTGCCCCATCCTGGGTTGTGCCCTGCGATGGGTTGGTGCCCCATCCTGGGTTGTTCCCTGCGATGGGTTGGTGCCCCATCCTGGGTTGTTCCCTGCCTTGCACCCATAGCCTCCAGCATAGGCTCTGGACCCCCCGCGACCTTGAATAGGACAAGCAGTTACAGAACATGGATGGATGGATATTATATGCTAATGTATTTAAGGTGAAATATAAACAGCTTAGAAAGTGAGTAAGACCCATTGGCGGTTTAACGGCAGTATAGCCAAACATCTACTACTTCTAAAAATGGAGCTACGTGTTCAACTTTAACGGTTTATCAGGTTTTAAATTAAGGTTAAACCACAGTTAAGATGACAGAGGAATTCCCCCAAGATACCTCAAATAATGGCTTATTGCAACAGTAGATAACGGTCGATACTTTCTGTAAAATATGGAAAACAGCCAATGCTTAAATAAATAAAAGTGAAATTACACAACATTTGCAGTTATCGTTCACAATGCGGGCTATTAAAATTTCAATATACCAAGCTGTTAATCGGTAATGAGTCATAGATTTAATATTCACCTTTATCTATGGAGCTGCATTAGACTTTTCCCCACAGAGAGAATGTTTGCTGCAGATTAGGGGAATCTGACTTTTAGGAATAGCCTCCTACTGAAGAACTTTTTCTCTAGGCTCATAATGAACAGTCACAGGGCTGCTGACTTTGGTCAGCTGGCTGGCGTGAGACTGTCAATTAGAGACAAGTCTGCACACACATTTACACGTATGTAACAGCTTTGTTACCTTGTAACTAGTCTGTACAAAAGGGGTGGCCAATCTTATCCGCAAAGGGCCGGTGTGTGTGCAGGTTTTTGGGATAACCTGTAGGTCAGCTGTTCAAACCAAGGTGTGAGGACCCTTCAGCCAATCAGTCCTCTAATTAGTAATCTAATTAGGGAGTTGCAACGAAAACCCGCATACACACCGGCCACCCCTGCTGTACAGTTTACAAACTACCTCAACACTATTAATGTAGCTAATTTTAGGTTTATAATGGAATAACACAGATTTGCCGTAAGATTTCTTGTGTAAGAATCTGAAAACGTGAATACCACGCCAGATGTGTGAGACTTCGCAAGCCTGCGGTCAGTGTAAAAGATGCATGTGATTTGAATGTGGGGATCCCAAACCTAGTTATACCCATTTTCATCTATATAAACACGGTCAATCACAATCATGGCTCCTCTAGGTCAGCGATACAGATCAAGTCGAGATGCTGCAGGCTTATATCATGGAGGCCTTTCACACACACAGTAGTGGCAAAGACAGCTGAGGCGGTCCCAGCAGGCACAGCTCCACCTGCTCTAACAGATGCAGATGTTCCACCGTAGGAATATTGATTTCAGGGAGGCGGATGAGGTACAGCTGGGGGGTGTGCTTGGGCGTCTTCGCGGTAATACCGCGCACATGACGACTGCAGGGTGCCGGTGGTAAAATTTAGCAAAAGGGGCTAGATGATGCTGCTAAAGTTTGCTGATCTGGTGAGGGGGGGTAAAACTTCTTGCTGCTAATTTTACATCTGCAGCATAGCAGCAGGGACCTTGCATATCATTTGCGGGTTTCAGAGAGCAGCTGCCGGCCGAAAGCAAGACACTCAGGTCAACGGGCACAATGGGCAACGGGCACAATGGGCAACGGGCACAATGGGCAACGGGCACTCCACCTGTCGTCTTGCACTGGGGCAGGTTGACGCGGCAGGTATGAAGAAGTCTGGGTGAGGTGTAAAAGATGAGTGTTGGCTTCTCGACCTGCTGATCCTTGTAATTATTTTTGCTTTACCTGACCGCTGATGCTTACAGTTCTAGTAAATTTTAAATTAACCCTTTAAGCTGCCATGCGCATCCTGTGAATACTTCCACGCCCAGGGGCACTCTGGAAAGCCTGAACTAAAAGGTAGGGTTAGATGGTCTGTCTACAGCATGCGTGAAATGAGCACAGCCCTTCAGTAAATGAGAGGCAGGCCTGCAAATATCAAGTAAATAAATAAAACTCAGAAATACTGCTGGAACCAAATGGCACAGTGAGATTTTCGGTGTCAAAACAACAGGAAAAAAATATATTTTTTTTTACCATCAGTCCATTCATGGCACTTGCGAGTTCCCAAAATTAGATAGGTAGATTAGATAGACAATTATAATAAAATAAATTAATAAAACTGCTGATCATTTCTATTATCAACAACATTTTTACATTAGCAATATTTGGTGCTATAAAATATAAAATATAAATATTATAGGCAATTTTCCATGTCTTGGAATTTAATGAGACTTGGGCACCAGTTGCATCCCAGGCTGAAGGAAGGAGCAGCTGTGTTTTGGCACGGTGAGTGACTATGACCCACAGGGCCACAGGAGAGTTTAGCGCTCACTGAACCGACAGCCGTAGGGAAGCTGCAGATGTCCGCCGGGTTAAAAGGCTGAATAAAGATGATAATGAGGAAACGACTTGAGGGGGGGGGGGTTGGGGGAGGGTGGTCGCTGACTGCGTCCCTGGTGGAGTGAGGCACCCGGGGAGGTGCGATAGTTTCTGAGCGAGTCGAATGAGAGTAAATGCGTCTGAGTGGATCCACCTGTGAGGTGGAATGAGGTGATTTTACTTCCCGTGCCAGCAGATGTGTGTTCCAGTCAACCGAGTCAAACCAACAAATGGGAAACGCAAATGGGAGGCACGTAACGGAAATAACCAGTGGCCTCCCATTAAGGGGACCTAGTGCATGCTGAAGAAACTGGACACTTATAACCTCCTGAGACCCCACCCATTCATTTATGTCCATTGTAGTGGACATTTTATTTTTGCATCTATCTTTTCACTGATGTTGGGAAACATATTTATTCCTGTTGTGCACTAAAGAGGACATGCTGTGAAATTAAAAATAAATAAAAAAAATTAAATTAAAAAATCTAAATTGTAAGATGTCTTATTTCCTCCAGAGACAAATAACCTAAATTCAAGGACACTTTTTTCCTTGGGTCTCAGGAGGATATGGTACTGAATAACCCGCACCCCGGTATCACTTTCGCGGTAAACAATTGCATGCACGACCGGCCGGGAATAGCATCGGTTGTGCTAAACGAGGGAACAATAGCCTCTCCATAAATCAGAGCACAATTACAATACACATCAGTTATTCATAAAAATCAGAGGTGGGAAATCGTACACTGTAAACTGTTTGTTTTTCTGCGTCGTGAACCAAGATGGATTAGCCGCAGGTTGCCTTGTTTTTCTTATGTGTAGGTGAAAACAAAACAGCTCGAGTGCCTCACCTACTGTAAACACAAGCCGCTTAGGTTCCATGACGTCAATGGGCCTCCTGACATCCAGGTACCAACTTCACACAAACGCCCATGGAAGTGAGTCTTTGGATGGTCAGGGGAGCCCGCTACCCCCTTTGGGGCCCCAGAGGAAGATGGGAATATCTTCACTGCATATACAGCAGGGGGCATGTGCAGGGACACCCTCCCAAACCTCACGAAAGGTGTGACAGGTGGACGAGGACAAACTAAAGGTGGCCAATGAGTCAGATTGTTCAACCAAGTTGGTCAATTCAGCCGAATCTCATTTCTTTAAACTGACACATGAGCAACTAATCTAGTTGACTAGGCTTCCCCTGCTTAAAAAGACTCCTCTTACAGTCCTTCTGTGAATTTTGTACTCAGTTGACCGATGTACAATGTTCCCATGAGAAGAGACTGTGTGGACAGGAAAATCAGTTTAAAGTAGTTTTGGAAAGCATCCAAGTCTAAAAAAAGCCACTTTAAACACGATTTAATAAATAATTTCAAAGAATTAAGCTCACTCGTGTCTGAGAACGTGGCATAAATATTTAACATCACCTTGATCTCGCCTTAAAAGACACCTCCCTGGTGTATGGCAGTGAAAGAATCAGAGCGCCCATGTGATGGGGGGGGGGGTTGCAAAGAGAGTTTGACAGGTGCCCTGCCTCCTGTTACTCCATCATCTGCCAAAAAGGTGTCCAGCTGGGTGTCACCAAAAGAGGGCGCCAGAGCTATTTCAGTGACTGGGCTGAGAAAAAAGGATAAGCGAAGGAACAGAAGAAGTTCGTGTTTCTTTTCTACGCAGGAGGACTAGTGATCAATAAAAGAGCTTAATCGCACAATAAAAACCCCTTTGACGGTAATTAATGGCATTGTTTTAAATCCTCACAAATAGTAAATCTCCTGTAATCTTTCTGCGTCAGCTAAGACCAATATGTGCAAATTCTCCACTAAAACCAAGCGATGTAACAGAAAAGCAAAAGTAATTTAAAACAGATGCACAGAATACAGGTCCGCTTTTGAAATCGCACTTTAAGCTGCTGCATGCTTGAACGTCAGCTGACTGGATAAAATGTAACGGTAGACTAAAGACCTCATGTAATTCACAGTATTTCTTTAAAATTAATCAGACCTGTGAACATTCCAGAAACTTGTAAGTATATTACACCATAAATTCCACATATATTTAAATAGGTGAATCAATCAGAGCACATGTGCAATATTACCTATTTTTGTCAATATCTGTTTATTTTCGCAGTGCAATATTTACTTTACTTATGGTCATATTCACCCACCCATTTATTACCATCTCTACATGTTATACTTTTTTATTTGTATACAGAATTTGCTGTATGTGGTGCTGCGTGTTGACTGCTCTTGTTTTTTATGTGCTTGTGTACTGAGCAGTCGGAAATCACAAACGATTTCCACCGGGATAATAAAAGTTTTATGATACTAATACAACAAATGTCAATGTATTTTGATAATTTTCCAAATAAATAGTGTGGCTGATAATTAAACGCTTAATGGGTAACGTTTTTGCTGTTTTGATGGCAGATAAACTGGAGACAGGTGGAATTCATCTCTGAGCATCATCACATCGTAACCTCCAACTGAACATCAACCCCCCCCACTAACCTCTCCAGTACTTTATCGAGTTATTTCATGCCCCGGTTGCATTTTACTGGATTTGATTTCACGTGCTAACACCAGAAAGAAGAAGCTGAAATGAAGAGAAAAGATTAGGAGGTCCTGTGGAAATTGATGAAAGATAAAGGGGTGGGAGGGTGGGGGGGCATCTCCAGAAAGATGGAGAGGCTCAATTTCACGATGCATGCCAGCAGCCGCACGCTCGCCACTGCCCTGAATTCATCCTTAATCTCATAGACGCCTAAGGCCAGCAGGGGATTATTCATCTTTTCAGGAAGGATTTATACAGGAAGTAAATATGTGTCTTTAACAAAAGGCTTGAGACTGCGCGTGCGAGTGACACTCGAGGCTCCCGTGCTACTCGACTACACCGACCTCTGCTCCATGGCTCTGTGCCGCACGTGGGAAATACATTTTGGCATCAACGTGTCACTGCGCCAAGAAGGCACTGCAGCTCGGCGTCTGAGGGAGAATCCGGTCACAAACGTCCCCTTTGATCACCCCATGCTGAACTACTTTAGTGACATACTTCCTAGTGCTAACAGAAAAAACACTAAAAACTAGTAATAAGGGACATTTTTTTTGATCGTACATCACAATCTGTAAGAGTACCTTTCAGTCCTCACAAACGTACGAAAAAAAAGACTTGCTAATGCATGAAAGTCTTCCCAAAAAACAGAGGGAACTCATATGTCTTGACTTTTACCTAATTTTTTTTTAACAGAGTTTGCATTTTAATAAGCAGGCTTCCATCAGTTATGAATATGGAAATACGGCACATCAGTCATCGGCGTCGGTACCCGTCACGGCAGTTGCCGGGAGACACGGAACCCCAGGAACCACAGTGAGCCGGGGTGGCATGGAGAGCGGTGGCTGCTCGCCACGGTAACGCCGGTATTTGAGGCTGGATTTTGCTGGGGGGGATGGAAAACCAGCCCCCCCCCCCTTGCAGGGTCCTAAGCCCACACACAGCCAGCTGTACAGTCAGCAGATGAGTGATGCAGGGAAAGCTCCATCTCTGATCTTAGGTTCTAGGTGCTAATGGTGTTTGACTAATGGGCCACCGTCGATGGTGGCAGAGAGAATAACCCACCTGCCTTTCCTTTCCCCTCCAATATCCCAACTCATCATTGCTATCAAAACTGGACCCACATGCTCGAGGTTGTAAAAAGGGTGTGGATACCCTGGCAGATTCGGGGGGGGGGGGCAGCACTTAACAAGGACCCTTGAATACGTAAAACTATGTGTAAAAATGGGCGGAGGGGCCCAAGGCAACATTTTGTCAGGGGGCCCAGAATTTTTAGGTACTCCCCAGCACGTTGTCTCTATAGACCAGTCACGAGGCACATAGTAGGCTGTAGAAATAATGAGGTTTTTCTTCTGTGGGATTATGCCCTAGTTGAAATCCCAGGAAGGTGGATCTGCCTTCCATGTTTGCAGGAGATCTGCGGTGGGAATGGCTAAGGAGGTCCTCTAACAGGGAAGGGAAGACACCTGATGAATGGTGTGGACATACTCTTTGCTCTTTCCCACACCTTGTGCCCTACTGGGTGACCCTCTTACATGCAGCACTTATCAGTGGCTCTGGAAGACTGAGAACGAATTGTGTTGGGTAACGGAAACGGGAAGCCTGAATACCATCCCGCATGTTTTCGTGCATGAGTAATTTTGATGCGAGGCTTTTGCAAGCCTAGCGACATGATCGCGCAGGCTCTGTGCCATTTAAAAAAGAACAGACGGTTGTGTTTTCCACAAAGGGTTTAACAAAAGTATTTTTTTCTCTCTCGGGATTATCCTTTGTGCTGTAAACAGTCTGCGAGAAATCGACTCCGGTGTTCAGGGTGAGGGGAACTGTGAGAGCGAGATATTTTGACAGCAGCCTCTTTGAATTCCGCAGAGTAGGTGATCTGGCAATTTAAAGGTTCATTTATGTTGTCTCTTTTGTAACCCTCCCTCCCTCCAAAAAAACAAAAGCTGATTTGGGTAAATAAACATTTATAAGTGATCATAGAGTCTGTTTTTAGTCTATATTTGTTTTCACTGACATTCTGCATTCAGAACAATCAATGCTACAATCCAGTGGAGGGACTTGTAATCACCACATCAAATGGATGCTAAAATTGTGACAAAGTGCCCACAAGGGAGAACTGCTAACACGCTGCATGCCCCCCCATACAGGAGGTGCATAACCACCCAGTGATTCAATACAATGAAGTTTATTTATTCAGCAGGCATTTTCATCCAAAGCGATGTACAGTTGAGACAGAAGGGTCAAGGAGCAATTGGGGGTTAAGGGTCTTGCTCAGGGAACACTGGAATCATTCTGCCGGCTCTGGGATTTGAACCAGCAACCTTCTGACCAGAGTGTTTCCTTCTTTACGGCTGACCCTCAATCCAAGGTAGGGATGTAACCTACACCCAATATTGGGAGTTGCTCTGGTGTGGCCTACTTACACTTCAGCTCAAGACGGATGAAATCGGTGTTGCCCAGGTTCTCCAAGAAGACACCGTATGGAGCAGAGGTTTTGAAGTAGAATGAGATGTCAGCACTGGTCTCTCCTTGGAAGGTGGAGAAGTGTAGGTAGGAGGATGGAGTGTTGAACGACGCTGCATTCCAGTAACTGCCTGTAAGACAAACACATACCCGTGTGCTGTGATTCGTCTGTTTCCCTTATTCCACCGTACCTCCTCTGCCGGCTTGTAAACGTCCACCTGATAAATCGCTAAATAAACCTGACAATACGAAGTCCGCATTTTCGCATGCATCCAGGGGTGATTATAGGATTTTTTGTCAAAGTGGGGTACATGAGAGGGGCCATAATTCATGCAGCGGGGCCAGCCTTATCATTAGCCAATGACATCAATGAATCAGTGAGTGACAGGGGAGGTGGCACTATTTGGGCCAATCAGCTTTTAGCGGTGGCCCCGCCCTTGCACATGCTCTTGCATGCCTTAGTAGATTTGCTAAAGACGCTTGTTAAAAAAAGCTATTAAGCAAAGCAGGTTTAATTCTTCCTCCTGTCTGGTTGAGTTAGTGCCTGTGCAGCGTCAGTCTGAGGGAGATGCGCTTTTTGCTTTCTGGGTCTCCTTTCCAGAAGCCTCACTCAGACCAACTCAGACATACCCCGCCAGATTCATCAGGTTGCTGTCTAGCCTCAATTACAGCTGTCCAGACTGTTACCAGGGCAAAAGGTAAATTATGAATCTGTCTCAGGAGTTCACGTTCCACGAGAAAGCCAGGAGGCAAACAGGAGAAGCCGTGACCCTGGGCTTCGGTCATCCTATTAGAAATTGAGTTACATCTGTGCTTCCTGTCCTAAATGAAAAAGGCTTTAAATTAGGTGAGAGGACCGTCAAGCCAAACAAGGCAAATGAGGGGAGGAAGGCCAACAACAAGCTTGAAAGGGCAGGGCGAGGATTGACAGGTAATTCGGGGGGGGAGTGGGGGGGATCTCCTTCTCCATTCTAATAGCCTGGATTCCTGGTTCTCTGTACTGTACTACTGACAAGAAGCACAAACCTCCTTAAATGCCAAAGGGGAAATCATGTAAGTATTTTTTTGTGCTAAGGAGAACATTCACGGGAGACAGAAGCAACGGGTCGCACACGCACTGAACTGCCACAAATTTTGATACAATTCTGAGTACTGTAAATGAAGCATTTTTCACGAGGTGTTCACAAGGTGAACCTGATGTGCTTAAAAAGAACTGAAGTACTTAAAAAGTCCAATCTTGTAAGCAGATAAAATATTGAACTAGATAAATACATAAATCATTCTGAACTTCTGAGCTAATTAGCAACTGGATGTGGATGTAGAATGTAAAATGCATCACCAATTAAGGGTAAAAAGGCAAAAACTACTACTATACTACTACTATTATTATTGTTATTATTATTATTATTATTAATAATAATAATAATACATTTTTAAACCTGGGGGGTGTTCCACAAACCAAGATTTCTCAGTTAGCTGGCATAACTTAGTAAGTGAGTAACACGCAAATGTAGAATATTTCAGTATGTGCAAAATCTTTTGACTGGGAGTGTATATTCTTGCCCTACACTCACCTAAGGAGTGTGAGTAGTTGTGTGAGGTTATGTGAAAGGATCTTCCACTTGGATGTGGTACTGGTTGATGCTCACATCCACTCACTGATTCGGCGTCTTCCAGGAATGCGCAAATATGTTCGGAGGACTATCTAGCAAAGAGTGAAACGTAAGGTTCTGTGGAAATTGTAATGGCTAGTGGGCGGGTGATGACGATGGTGTCACTATGATATGGCCGGCATTCTTCATATCTCCGCGAATCTGTACTGGATCATCTCTCATCGGCCCTCATCATGGGAATAAGCTGAACCATTAGCTACGGAAACAGGCAATATACAGTAATATTTTGGCCAGGAGGCAGGGACCCTAAGCATATCAGTGGTGGGCTGAGATCCCTTAGCGGGACGTCTAGGATCCCTACATTGAGTTGGGCTCTCTACCGCTACCTAAACGAGGGTTGCTTTTCAGGAAAATCTGTAGTGATTTGGTTTCCACCTGCAAGGCTGCCACATGGGGACCTCGGCAGATGTGTTGTTTCCACCAAATTCAGTCGTGACGAGAGTGATCGGCCCACCAAACAGCGACAGGGACACTATCCATATTCCCAGTAGGCCGAGTCTCCACAGCGCAGCTTTTACGATTGCTGCATTATTTATATGTCACACTGATTTCACGCCACGGAACCTGCTACAACCACGGGACGAGACTCAAGCCCAGACCTCCAGAAACGTGCATCCAAAGTGGGGGAGATGCTGTCATGGTCGTGGCAGATATTTGGGATGAATGAGCCTTGTCACCACTGTGTTCTAAAACGGGTCTACACAACAAATGAGAACATTTCTCTAGATATACTATCAGGAATGCTATGTGTAATACTATCAGGTGTGGCTCCGTGTTATGCAGACGAGTCGAGGCGAGCTCCTGAAGCCCATGAGGCTTATCGAGGAGACCCAGGCACTGCTCTACACCGATTATCTTTCCCACACTGGGGTAGAACTGTGTACTCTGACATCTGGTCACAAACTGTGCACGCTCCCCACTGTGACTCTATTGTGAGCTGATTATGCGGTACCCTTATTTTTGGAGGCAAACCTCATTTTTTTGGAGGATGAGAATGATATCCCAGTAGGCTTATGTTTTTCCTTTTAAATTAACGAGCTTGGAATGGGATGCAAATTTATAAACAGACCTGAACCAAGATCATTCAGATGTACATGATAAGCAACGAACTGCATGAAAAAACCTGCATAAGTAGCTGAACAACCAGTGATCCTGAAACTTTTTGTTATTGACCAAATTCATTAATCAGAGACATAATTGGAAGACACCCAGATGAAAAAAGGAAAACCAGCATAATAGAATAACACCAGTAGCTGGCGGAGCGGATCCACGTTTGGGTCCTTGAGCAGGAGGAGCGGATCCACGTTTGGGTCCTTGAGCAGGAGCCGTAAACCAACTTGCTCCAGGGACTCAGTCTGACCCTGATCTCTGATCCTCACCACATCTGCTATATAAATAAATAAACATAAAGGTGCTAAGCAGCAATAGACTGCTGCTATTCTCCTGATGTTCTGCACACACCGGCAGCTCTTGACAGCTTTTCTTAAACAGTAGCACCTAGAAACACAGATGTGGTTTTGATACCTGTCTTGAAGAGAGGACCGTTACTGTGGTCCGAGCTGCAATATGTAAGCACCACGTGAACTATTTGAGCACTCTACAGGAAAAAGTAAAAAAAAAAATTGTAATAAATTTAAGCGTTTGTTACTCTATAACGTGAAACTGGAAACTGTTGCATCCTCTGTAAGGTATAGCCAGAACCACTAGAGGGAGCCAATGAGCAGCCAGCAGCAGTCATCTACTTCCAGCTTTGAACATACCTGCTGATTATTACCCACTCATTAGGCAGGTTTCTAAGCTGTCTAGATTTCACAGGCTGTCCTGAGTCATCATAGCCAGTCTATGGGATGTCAGGCCACTATGAGCATTTTGTGTAGATTAACGCCGCTAGCTACTCGTAGTGTTTCTCTCTGTTGGATCTTGGACTCTTGTGGAGTAATTAAACTGATTTTTTTTTTTTTATTATTATTTTTAATTGAAGGACTCTTTCCACTTAAGGGACTGACCTGGGGCTGTCTGTTATTTACCTTGTGGAGCATTTTCAGCTCTCTATTAAAGTTTGTGAGTTCGTTCAGCACTGTCCCAGCATGTCTGCTCTGAATACCCTTGTTTCAGACATGTGCTCATGGAGCTGAGAAAACGAAAAACAAACTGAAGGCACACAGTGAATTAGAGCCATTGGAAAATAATGAATAAGACTACGAAGCATAACCCCACTGCTTTCCTGTCCTTTCAAAGACTGACTGTTCCTGTTAAATGGCACCAACCAAGCTTCATTAACTGGGGGCAGATTTCTGCATAGGGGCAAGTGGATCACAAAGATAACTAGCTTGCGATGAAATAGATGTTAGCGCAAATATGTGGAGAGGCACATATTTGCGCATATTCCCTCTAATCTCCCTCTAATGGAGTCTGTAAGCTATGTAATTAATTTCAACAAATATCTGGATCAAAATGATTAATTCTTAGATAATAGGTAACTTTGTTCACTCTCACGAGTGCTGTTTTTTTTTACCTTAATTTAAATGCTCATGGGTGGTATTACTTAAAAAACAAATAATTTAATTAGGGAAAAAAAACTTACTGGCTTGTTGAATTTGTTATGAAGGATCTTGATGCATCCAAGCGTAAAGCATAAATAATGCACCAAGAGATGCTGAACAAATCGGGCAGATTATTTTAAATACTACCTGTCTTTTTATGTAATTAACCAAGGGCTCTTCTGAAAATCCACAAATTCACTCAAATTTGAAAATGAAAGTGTAAAAATAACACTATTAGCACCCTGTCCATCTGCTAATCTAAAAGAAAAGAAGCACAAGCTCATTAACAATATCCTTGTTGTTGACACTAGTGAGAACTTTCACATGTGAAAGCGAGATGAATTGTACTACAATACACCTCCATAAACTTCTTTCCCCAAGTACTGATAAAAGGTGTCAGATGTCTAAAGTTGTCTTTATCATTAACAACGGTGAAAATTCACGCGCATTTTTGTTTCAGTCTACTGTATTTATACATGCAATTTATATGTACAATGTCAGAAGAAAGGCGCAGGTAACCTTGCAATTAACATCCATTTTTCCATCTTCAACCCCTTTTTCATGATTAGGGTTACGTGATGCAATTAATGTGAAAAATCGTCTATGAAAACTTTAACATGCCAAGTGTGAAAAGACAGGATACGTGCACGGGCATACAGACACGCACACACACACACACACACACACACACATGCACACGCGCACACACACATGCACACACGCACACACACGCAGAAGCAAATACGGAGGAACATGAAAGTAATATTTCAAAAAGAGTCCAAAATCCATAATAGCAGGTGTCAGCTATATGCAGAGCCAATTTCACAGACGCCACAAGCTAAGTCTGTTCTCTGGAACATCAGTCATCTCCACACACCTAAGTAAAGGACTCGGCCCCATGCAGTCACCCCCCCC